CCTTCTCCCCCTTCTTCTTTCCCCCTCTCTCTCCCTCTCTCTCCCCCCTTTCGAACAGAGTATGGCCAAGCACCGCCTGTGCAACTCCCTTCAACTTGCAATGCACGCACGCAACGTAGGAGCAGCAACACCCTCTCACCCTTCGCCCTGGCACTTTTATCAGGTGAATAAATTTCGATTTTGCTCCTGAATAATTCATTCCAAGTCAAAGAGTCGTCTCAAAACTTTCAATTCTAAACAAAAAAAAAGAAAAAAATAAAAAAAAAAAGAAAAAAATCGATTCAGATCTGCCGCGTCACTGCAATATAAAGATTGCATATGCAGTTATTTATCCTCTTCTTTGTTTATCGCTTAATTTATTCGTCATTTCATTTGCTCTGTCGTCCTGCTATTTAATTATAGATTTACAACTACTGGTATCATTATCACTCTAACTCATATTATTATTATTACAACTATTATTATTATCAATACTATTATTCTTATCATTATCATTATTAATATCAATATTATCATTATCATTATTTTTGTTGTTATCATCTTTATTATCATTACTAATTCTACTTATAACTTCATATTTTAATTGCTTGTTAAAAGTTGAGAATTATCTCACGTTAACGGTAGCGAAAAGACGACCCTCATGTTGCCCGTTGTTCTACCGCTTACAGACGTTGCATATCAATGAATAGTTGACTGAGGTGATTAATTCTTGTCTTCGTCTTTTTCTTTCCCCTCTTCTACCCTCTCTCATTCCTGACTCACTCTCTCCCCTTTTCCCACCCCCCAAACCCCTTCATTTTTCCCCACCTCTTCCACCCTCTCTATCTCTATCCTCCCAGCTCCCCCACCCTCTCCATCTTTCCCCTTCCCCCACCCTCTCTACCTTTCCCCCCCCACCCTCTCTACCTTTCCCCCCCTCACCCTCTCTACCTTTCCCCCCCTCCCCCACCCTCTCCATCTTCCCCCACCCTCTACACCCTCCCACCTCCCCCACCCTCTCTACCTTTCCCCCTCCCCCACCCTGTTCATCTCTATCCTCCCAGCTCCCCCACCCTCTCCATCTCCCCCCACCTCCCCCACCATCTCCATCTTTCCCCCACCTCCCCCACCCTCTCCATCTTTCCCCCACCTCCCCCACCCTCTCCATCTCCCCCCACCTCCCCCACCCTCTCCATCTCCCCCCACCTCCCCCACCCTCTCCATCTTTCCCCCCCCCACCTTCTACCCTTCTTCCCTTCCCCCGGCCTTCCCTATCATTCCTTTCCGCTCCCTACCCCCCCCCCCCTTTCCCCCCCTTTCGTGTTTGCGTATCACACATGCAGAATCCCCCTGGCACGAGCTGCACCCCCCCCCCCCCCCCCCCGCCACAGCAACCACATTATCCCCATAAGAATCCAATAAAAAAGATAAACTAGCGCCACGGAATGCACGCTCGGACCGGCCAGTCTTACGGGGGGGGGGGGGGGGCATGGGGAAACGGTTCGGGCATGGGGGAGGGGGAATTGGGGTTGGGGGAGGGGATGGGGACCCTATGGTTGAACATGTGTTTGACATAAAATGGCTTTAAAAAGACAACAGTTTTTAGCCTCGCTTTCCTTTTCTTTAAACGCTTAGTCAAATGTATACACGGTATATGTGTATATATGTTTATATTGTGTTTATATACAGAAATACATAGACACAAACATATAAACACATACACTCACGCGCGAGCGCGCACACGCACACACACACACACACACATACATACACATACACATAAACACACACACACACACACACACACACACACACACACACACACACACACACACATATATATATATATATATATATATATATACATATATATATATATATATTTATATTTATATAGATAGATAGATAGAGCGGAAAAGCTAGAAAGAAAGAAAGTCCCACGAAACCCTTCCCTCCCTGGCACGCCGCAACAGAAAATGACAAGTGTATTAATAGCTTTAATCTCCATCAGTATAGATCATCTTTCATCCCCTTCCCCCTTAATTCTTACCCCCCCCCCCCTTACCTCGTACCCTTCCACCTTCCTCCTGCTCTTAACACTTACCCCCCCCCCCCCTCCGTTACCCCAATTTGCTCCCCATCCCCTCACCTCTTACCTAATTCCCCTCCAACTCCCCTCCCC